ACAAAATTTAAAAAAAAAATATTAAAAGATTAAACTAAAATAACTAAAGTTAATGAAAGGAGTAATAATTATGAAGTGTCCCGTATAAAAACTCTGCTATATGCTGTATTGCAACATTTAGTATTTATTTAGATAAAAAGTAGTAAAGGAAAGGAAAAGGAAAGGAAAAGAAGGAAAAGGATGGGATGGGAAGAGAGGAAAAATGGAGTGAAAGGAAAAAAAAAAAAACTAATATTAACTTTGTTTGAATAAATAAAAATAAATGAGAGAGAATGATAATATTTTTATTTAATTAAATAATTTTAAAAAAAATACAAATGATTTGTTATTTTAAGTAAAAGGTATTTAATTCTTTTAAATAAAATTTTGAATTTGAATCTTATAAATTAAGAAATATATTTTAGTAAAACTTTTTCTTTATAAAATTTAATGTATTCAATATGACATTTAAATATCAAAAGTTAGTATCAAGAAAATAATTTAAAAAATAAAATTAAGTTAAACTTTTAAAATTTATTAATTAAAAGAAATTAAAATATAATATTTCTATATATTATTTTAAAAAATAAAAAATATTAAATTTATGAATCTAATCCTCCACAATCTATCTTTTTTTTTTTTTTTAAACATAAGAGAATTTGAGAATGAAAATTTAGTTTCAAGTCATTAATGAGAATCGAACTCTCAACCAATTACACTTAAGTACTTAAATCTTAAAAATAAATTATTAAATTTGAATGTTCATTTCTCACCATCTATTTATTTTAAATTAATAATAAAAACAAAACTTAAAGAGGTTCTATCTCACCCTCTTTCTATTAAAACAAGTAACTTAAATACCAAAATAAACTCTCCCCCTTCTTCTCTTGCCCTTGCCCTCCAAGTTTCCCAATTCAAACCTATTGTTAAACCAAACGCGTCAAAAAGTACCATTATCCTGCCAAATACCGCCAAGGCATGCAGTGTAACGCAATATCATTTTTTTTTTGGTAAAAGTAACGCAATATCCAGATAACGATGAAAATCGCCCCAATGTGTATGGAAAACGCAAGTCATGCGACTAATTGGGGTGTTGACTAATTGGGCTATAAGCCTATGACCCACCCCTTAATAAAAAGGCAAAAACATAAAAATAAAAGGGACAATCCTTCGAGTTTCGGACACGTCATGCAATCACCGCCGCGTATGACAAAAACATGAATCCTCCCTCTACGTGTAGGTCCCACATCGCTGACACCACACGACGTTCTCATTCAAGGCAATACCCCACACACCTCTCCTCCCGCCCCTGCTGCTCTCTGTACTACACTTACTCTCCTCCTTTCCCGGCTCAATATTATCTCTTTTCGCCTCCTTTACTCTTTGCTTCAGAATTGTGGTTATTTTAGTGGTAGATTTGGCAGCAATGATGGAGGACGGAGACTGGATTCTGGTGCACCGGCCTATGGAGAAGGATCTCTGGAGCCCGACCTTGATGACGGACTTCAACAATGACAGTTCCAAGCCGCTGAAAGTTACGTTCTCTGGTCCTGCTAAGCACTGGACAGACGCGATTCCGATTGGAAATGGTCGGCTTGGGGCGATGGTGTGGGGCGGCGTCGCGGTGGAAACTCTGCAGCTCAATGGTAGTTATAAATAACTTAATTGAACTGAATAAAGTCTGGTGATGTGAATTGGTTGCTATTTCTGCAATGTGTTTGTGTTGATGTATAAGAGAATGGAAGCAGGGTTAGAGAATGTTTTATTTTGTTTACTGTAATTGTTATGCAGAGGATACTCTGTGGACCGGGACGCCGGGTGATTACACAGATCCGAATGCGCCAGAGGCGTTGTCGGAGGTTAGAAAACTTGTTGATGGCGGCAAGTATGCTGAGGCTACTAAAGCAGCGGTTAAGTTGTCTGATAATCCTTCTGATGTATGTTTCTTCGCCTCATGTAGTACAATTAAAGTTCTTAGTTCAGTAGTTCTTATACATATCAGTACGTTCTTTAAAATTTTTGCTTGCTAGTGTGAGGAAACCAGATAGCTAGCTAGAAATGTCATAACATTTGATATTTCTTTAATCAGTTAGTTAGTAGAGGAATTCGATATAATCTACCCAGTGATCAGGACCATTAAAGAAGATGTTGGACCATGGTTTTTAATTAGAAGAGAGATTTAGTGAAATGATCTGAAAATACTTATTTTTCTCCTTGTTCCAATTACAAGGATTGGAATACTGATGAAGACCATTGCCTAGATATATGAGTTTTGAGATTGCCTGGTCACTCCATCCTCAAATTCTTGATATCGCAGTTCCTTATTGAACTATGAAATAGGGGTACTTAACCCCTTCAAACCTGTATATGATGTGGCTCCTCATTGGATACTCTAGGATAAATTTCGGGTATTATTTCAAGGCTTTTGAATTCTTACTTGCACATGGTTTACATGAATGTTGGATGCTTAAGGTTAGATGAAAAATGTCTGTTTTATACTCTAGTTATTTGTACCTTTTGGTCAAACTTACTGAATATTTTATTCACTTGTATAAAGATAATGTTTTTGTAATGTCTTTCGATTTTAAGGATAGGATTATCATACCTTTTCATATTGTATATGTATCAAGCTTCATAGTACCCAGAAAAAAAAGGTGATTTTTCATTTTATTGCTCTCCCTCCATTTCCAGAATGTTAACATTTATGAGGTTCAAATATTTATTATGTTCCACTTTGACTTTATTCTTTTCACATGGATTCTGTTTCATTGTTTGACTCTCACATTTAGCTTTTAGTTGAAAATCTGACAGCTTTCTCATTAACTTGAACAAAGTGATACTGACAATCCTCTTCTGATGATGAAGGTTTATCAACTTCTGGGAGATATCAAGCTAGAATTTGATGATTCCCATCTTAAATATACAGAAAACACATACCGTAGAGAGCTTGATCTGGAAACTGCAACAGCAAGAGTAAAATATTCCGTTGATAATATAGAATTTACAAGGGAACATTTTGCTTCATATCCTGATCAGGTGATTGTTACAAAAATTTCTGGAAGCAAACCTGGATCTTTATCATTTACAGTTTCTCTTGACAGCAAGTTACATCACCACTCAGGAGCAAACAATCAAAATCAAATCATATTGCAAGGAAGTTGCCCTGGTAAAAGGATTCCTCCACATATTGCTGTACATGAGAACCCAAAAGGAATACAGTTCTCTGCAGCTCTTGATTTACAGGTGAATCCAGGAGCTATCATACATGTTTTAGATGACAAGAAGTTGAAGGTTGAAGGTTCAGATTGGGCTGTTTTGATTCTGGCAGCTTCTTCTTCATTTGATGGGCCATTCACTAAACCTTCAGATTCTAAGAAGGATCCCACTTCAGAGTCTCTCAATGCATTAAAATCTACAATTGGCTTATCATACTCTGATCTCTATACACATCACCTGGATGATTATCAGAATCTTTTTCATCGTGTCTCGCTGCAGCTTTCAAAAAATTCTAAGAGCATGTTTAATGATAGGTCTCTGGAGGTTAAGAAAGCTAAGTCCCCTCTAACTGATTTATGGTCCAATAAAAGTGAAGATGACACAGTTTCTACAGCAGAGCGGGTGAAGTCTTTTCAAACAGATGAGGATCCTTCCTTTGTTGAGCTTCTATTCCAATATGGTCGGTATCTGCTTATTTCTTGTTCACGGCCTGGAACTCAAGTAGCAAACCTCCAGGGAATATGGAACAAGGATATTGAACCTGCATGGGAGTATGTTCATCTCTTTCTTTTACCCTTAGAAAATTCTTCAATTCAACTGCTATAGTAACATTCACATACCATTTCATTATATATAGATTTGATATATAATTATGACAAGACCTCCCCCTCTTTCTGTCTCCCATATACCACACACCACTCTCTTCCCAAGACATGTAACCACTTTTTGGTCCCTTTCTACTTTCTTTTTAAGTTTGACATTACTCGATTGTTACAATATGTACTTAACTTCCAAGGCGGGGATACTTGTTACCATGTTTCTTCCTCTTTTCTCACATCTATTTCTTTTGATTGAGCAAAGTCCACAATCCTTCTAATTACAAATAGTGAACTTACAAAAACACTTTCAGTACCACAGGAAACAAAAGCACATTAAGCCAAACACAGGCTTAACTCCCAGTCTGCTTCTCTTTCTCTGTTTAGCTTACCTGTTTTCTTATTTTTGTTACCTTTGGTGGCTTTCCTTGTCAAATCCCACAGGAATACTTGTGTCTGCATGCCTTTCTTTTTTTCATGTGATTGTCATGTTTGTATTGGTTCTTGTATTGCAGTGTTGCCACCATTCAATTTTTGTTTGCTTATTGTATTCAAAATCAATTGGTTGGTAAGAGTGATTTTTGAAAGACTTCACACACTACATTATATGTATACAAATTAAGTGAATCCCATGGTGAATTTTCTCCTTACCAACATAAAATATTAACTAAAGTATACCAAAAAAACTAAAAATGCATATGACAAAACTTACTATCTCTGAATTAGTAAATTTCTTTTATGACCCTTCTATGTTTCCTTATTATTTGTTCTTTGTTTCAGTGGTGCTCCCCATTTGAACATTAATCTTCAAATGAACTATTGGCCTTCCCTTCCCTGCAACCTTAAAGAGTGCCAGGGGCCTTTGTTTGATTTCATTTCTTCTCTGTCAATCAATGGGAGTAAAACTGCAAAAGTAAGTTCCCTCTCCTCCACTCAGACTTTCCATTACGAGATTCTGTTTAAAATCTTAGTGGGAGGCACTATCAGAAAATTTGCAAGTTATTTTGACTCTGGGCTTAAGTTGCAAGCTCTTAATTATATTATTGGAAAATAATTGCAGTCATAGCTTGGTTATAGGCAGTACATAATTAATGGGTGATCTCTAGGAAAAGGAAACATGGGAAAAGTTAATTTTCATCAATGCTTATTATCTTTCCTTATAATAAGTTAATGAAACAAGTGTGCCTAATTTGCTTATATAAAAAGAAATTTTCAAATATCATTAAGCTGCTCCTTACACTTTCCACTGCAAAATTTTATGTATGTCATATTACCTCTTACATTCATATCAAGCTTTTACATCAGTTATGACCTTGGCAAATCTGCTTCTCCAAGTCCGAGTAAGAGCCAAAATAACCGTCATCACTCTATAAACTCAAGTTCTTGATATAATAGATCTCTTTGTTGTACAAGAATTTTTATTTTTTAATTTATGCTTAAATACCTTCTATTCCTCTTAAGTGTGGCATTACTTATTTAGCAACTACTTCTTGTAGGTGAACTATGAAGCTGGTGGTTGGGTTGCACATCAAGTATCGGATATATGGGCAAAAACATCACCAGATCGAGGTGAGGCTGTGTGGGCTTTGTGGCCAATGGGCGGAGCATGGCTCTGCACCCATCTGTGGGAGCACTATACCTATACACTGGACAAAGTAAGATCCTAATTGTTCAAATACTTTATAGCTTTATTAAGGGTATTATAGATTGAAAGGCATTTGCTACAAACAGAACTCTAATTCTTCCTGAAAGATTCTTTATTTTTATATAATTTTTTCTTGTTCTTCTGCTGTTAATATTGTTAGATGCAATCTCAGGGACCATGTCAGTCTAAAGATCTAGGGAAGATTTCATTCTGACAAAATGAGGCTGTTTTTTAAAATCTTCTTTTTTGTTTGACTCAGATGGTTTTCTTCCATTCTCAACAATATTTTATTGTTCTGTTGTGCAACGATGGCTCTAACTAGAAGAAAAACCATTAAGAAAGTTGAGTGTTAGAGACACATTGTCTCTCTTATCACCATGAACATGTCCAAGTATTTTTTCCAATGAAAATCATTAAACGTCTAAAGTGTATGTCAATGTGTTATAGTCATAGATGCAAACAGGGTGGACCTGTCAGAGCAAAGTTTTTCAATAAGTTCAAACTTGACTTTTGGGTAAGAAGTTAAGTAGAGTGGCACTTTGATAAAAGGAATTATTGATTACTAATCTAATTTTGGATAATAGTCCTATGGTAAACTGAGTGAAATTTTGAAACTCTGATTCTGCTTTGTATAATGAATGTTGTTAGAGACTAGTTGATGTTCACTTTTCACTTAATGTAATTAACCCTTAATTTTAAGCCAGTTGACTAAGGACTTAATGATCTGTGTCTATGGTGGTCGATTCTTAGATTTCATTCAAATTTTGTTATGATAATTGAACAACAGCATAAATTATTGTCTTCCAGATCACCAACGTCTGGCATCACACTGTTGTATATTACTATCCTCTGAGTATATTATCTTAATTTTCTAATTTCTTAATTAAAGGATTGCTAATATTTTCTACATAATTAGGATTTTCTAAAAAATAAGGCATATCCTTTGTTGGAAGGATGTGCTTCGTTTCTGTTGGACTGGTTGATTGAAGGTCCTGGCGGTTATCTGGAAACTAACCCATCAACTTCTCCTGAGCATATGTTTATTGCTCCTGATGGTAACCCTGCCAGTGTGAGCTACTCATCCACCATGGACATGGCAATCATAAGAGAAGTTTTCTCAGAAATTGTTTCTGCAGCTGAGGTGCTGCTTTTACTCTAAGCTCTTGAAAATGAGTTCTAGATTTTGGCCTCAATAATTTCCATATGTTTATATGCTGGTACGTTTCTTGAACAGGTTTTGGGAAGAACTGATGATTCTATTATTGGAAAAGTCCGTGAGGCTCAGCCAAGACTATTACCCACAAAGGTCGCTAGAGATGGTTCTATTATGGAATGGGTATGCAAGTAGCTGGTGTCATTTTCTGAGATAGTTTGTGAAACATTTACCGATTTATGTCAAGTTTTATGGAGTATACTAAAAAGTGATGCTGCAAATGTATTACATGTTAAGTGATTATTTTGCTTTTTGACCAGGCTCAAGACTTTCAGGACCCAGACATGCATCATCGACATTTATCACACCTGTTTGGCCTGTTTCCTGGGCACACGATTACTATAGAAAAATCACCAGATCTCTGTAAAGCTGCTGACAATACCCTCTACAAAAGAGGTTTGTATGTCATGGAGGAGAGAGAGATTAGTTTTGGTATTTCTGTTTGGGGGTACTTGGCAGTGGAAGTGATGTCATGTTTGTTTTTGATATTCATACAATTTGAACTTGAGAATGACATCATTGTGAATAAGCAAATTCCCATATGGAAAGATAAATATAAAATGGGGCTTTAGCATATAATTCTAGAGTTTCAGAATGTTGTACCTGAAATGGGGTGATAGGGTTCTGCTTAGACTGGTTAGTTTTTGTTTCAAAGAAGCACACACCAGCAGCTTCCTGGCTGTTTGATTTTAAGCAGCCTATATTTAGAATTTCTATAACCAGACTTCTAGAATAACTGTTATTAACTTATACCAGTGCACTAAGAGCAATATAGCTGTCAGGGCAATTAATTGCATTGAGAGGCTTCTTATTCTAAAATTTTGTATGGTTTTCATACCCTCTTGTAGCATACTGCCCACTGTATGCTCATAATCTTTTTAATCTGAAACAGGAGAGGATGGGCCAGGATGGTCAACCACATGGAAAATTGCACTATGGGCACGTCTTCACAACACTGAACATGCATATCGCATGGTCAAGCATTTAATTAATTTGGTGGATCCGGATCATGAAGCTGATTTTGAAGGAGGACTCTACAGTAACCTATTCACTGCCCATCCCCCTTTCCAGATTGATGCCAACTTCGGGTAAGCATCTTTTTTCTCTTTATGCATTGATGAGATTTAGTTGCAATAATTGGTTCAAATTGCCTAATGCTGTTTTCTTTTTTCTAGTCAGAAGTGTCATATGATCTGTGTTATTGCTTTCTTTCGGAGATCCTGAAGTTGTTAAATAACTAGCATGAGTCAAACAAAATTGATTTGTTATTCCTACCCATAAATATTTTATACACAAGAAAGCATGGAAACAACAGAGTTTGGTCAAGGCCAGTGCCAAGCATATGATTTATGGTTTTTGTGTCTTCAGCTTTTCAGCAGCAGTTGCAGAAATGCTTGTCCAAAGCACCTTAAAGGATCTATACTTACTCCCGGCTCTTCCCCGGGATAAATGGGCGAGTGGCTGCGTGAAAGGATTGAAAGCCCGTGGCGGTATGACAGTTAACGTCTGCTGGCAAGGAGGAGATCTACTTGAAGTTGGGCTTTGGTCAAAAGAACACAATACTATTAAAAGACTACATTACAGGGGAACAATAGTAACAGCAAATATATTAAGAGGGAGAGTCTACACTTTCAACAGAGAGTTGAAATGCCTTAAGTCATACCCTTTCTCCGAAGGAGCTTTTTCTTGAATGTTGAGATCAAATGTTTCTCATCCTAGAAGCATTTATTTATTTATTTTGGATCCAAACAAAGCAGCAGAGGAGATCTGTTCATTGATTTGTTTTATTTCTTTTGATCGAAACATAAGAGTTTATATTTGCTAGCAAGAGATTACCGTCTTCAAGTTTATGAATTGACTTGTGATTAACTCTTTTATTGAGTTGATATACATTTTACTCATTTAATCTTGAGCCCAGAGCTAAACTTATGTCTTAAAATTTTTAATTTCAGAATGATTTTGTCTAATCTACAAACATGTTTGAGTTCTATTGTTACCGTCCAATCAGTAGGGACCACGGACCTCCGGTCAGGCGGATGTGTATCCAAAAATTGGTTTTGGGTGAACAGGGAGACGTTGGGTTAAATCCTTTTCGTCCGACTACCAAATCATCAACCAGAAGCCGGTCGCTCTGTCACTCAGTCTCGCTCACTCACACACTCACTCACTCACTCTCAGACAAGAATTTCTCTTTCAAGCTTTGATTCTCCAGAAACCTTCCATTTTCCCTTCTGCTTCCAATTCTTCGGCCATTGAAGGAGACTTTGGTGCCGACGCGGCAGCCCAAAGCGAGGGACTTCTGAAACCCAAGCTCGATGGACCCCTCTGAGAGTTCCAAGCCGTTGAAAATTACCTTCAATGGACCCGCCGACTACTGGACCGACGCACTTCCCATCGGGAACGGTCGTCTCGGCGCCATGGTTTGGGGTGGCGTTGCCTCGGAACTTCTCCAGCTCAATGGTAAACTCAATTTCTTATTCTTTAGTAAAGCATTTTTAGGTTTTAATTTTCCCCCCTTCTTTCATCGCATTTGTAAATGTCGGATTTAAGAATGAAGAAATATATGGAAATTTCGACATCTGCATCGCGAAATTGTGTAACTATGGTTCTTATATATTTTTCAGGATTTTCGGGTTTTATATGTTTGATAGATTCATAATAATTTATAAATAATAATGGATAGAAATTAAGGAAAAAAAAGACCTAGGAAGTGATAGTGTAATATGAATTATTTTGTAGAGGACACACTCTGGACTGGGACTCCTGGGAGCTATGCTGATCCTAATGTTCTGAAGGCACTTCCAGAGGTTAGAAGTCTCGTTGATGATGGCAAATATGCTGAAGCTACTGCAGCGGCAGCCAAGTTGTATGGAAATACTGCGGATGTAGGTTTCCTGATATTCTTTAATGTCCTTTAATGCTCTCCAAATTGTTCCAATTGGAAGAAATATTGGAATTCTTAAAATTGTTGAGCCGTTCATGATGTTGTGCCCATTTCATTAACCTGTTGCTTGAATTAAGTATAGAGTCACAACTGAATTAGTCCATTTCATTTTATCCTGTTTTTCTTGATTCTACTGTAAAGTATAAACCTTTAGCAAGGGTAATATCTTAAAAGTTTTCTTGTGATTGTGAAGGTTTACCAACTACTTGGTGATGTCAAGCTGGAGTTTGATGATTTTCATTGTAATTATTCTGAAGAGACATATCAAAGAGAGCTAGACTTGGACAATGCAACTATTCGAATAAAATATGCAGTGGGTGACATAGAATTCACAAGAGAGCATTTTGCTTCATATCCACACCAGGTGATTGTAACTAAAATTTCTGGAAGCAAACCAGGGTCTGTATCTTTTGCAGTGTCTGTAGACAGCAAGCTAAGTCATCATTCTTATGTAAATGGAAAAAGTCAGATTATAATGGAAGGAAGTTGTCCTGGAAAAAGGATTCCACCAAAAGTGCATGTAAATGATAACCCAGAAGGCATTCAGTTTTCTGCTGTTCTTGATTTACAGATTAGTGATGGGACAGGTGTGATACATGTTGTAAATGACAAGAAGTTGAAGATTGAAGGCTCAGATTGGGCTGTTTTGCTTCTAGTGGCATCATCTTCATTTGATGGGCCATTCACTAAGCCTTTGGACTCCAAGAAGGATCCTACTTCAGAGGCTCTCAGTTCTTTGAAGTCAATTAGAAATCTATCATATTCAGATCTTTATGCTTGTCATCTAGATGACTATCAGAGTTTGTTTCACCGAGTTAAACTGCAGCTCTCAAAAAGCTCCACAGCCTTTGTGTCATATGGGTCCCTAGGGAAGAAGAAACTATCTAATTTGAGTCTCAACAAAAATCAAGATAGCAAAATTTCAACTGCAGAGAGGGTGAAATCTTTTCAAACGGATGAAGACCCATCTTTAGTGGAGCTTCTGTTTCAGTTTGGTCGCTATTTGCTTATTTCTTCTTCACGGCCTGGAACTCAGGTGGCAAATTTGCAAGGGATATGGAACAAGGATCCTGATCCAAAGTGGGGGTGGGTTTTCATTTTTCTTTATATGTTTTATTCATCACCTATCTATCACTTCTTTTCCTTTTATTTTGTGCTTATGCCTCGGTGTTCGGTTCTCTCTGTGTGCTTGAGTGTCTGTCTTCATGTTCTCAACATGATTCACATTGTTGTTAGGTCCTTCTTTGATCTATACTTCTTCCCATAGACTTGTAGCTTTGAGGACCAAGATATTCAAGCTTGCAAACAGCATTCTCACTATTGTTACACTCCTAAACTTAGTGGAATCAACTGAGTTCTACCTTAATCTAATCATCAAGCTCTTTTACTATTGTATATAATCGAGGCTAAACCGATTCTTATGAAAATAATAGATTGTATCTCTTGCTATTAAGGTGCATTGAGATTACATCTTTTCTGTAACTAATTCTGTATTCTTTTCCTCAGCTCTGCTCCTCACTTGAACATCAATCTTGAAATGAATTACTGGCCTTCCCTGCCCTGCAATCTTAGTGAATGTCAGGAGCCGCTGTTTGATTATCTTACATCTCTGTCAGTCAATGGAAGTAAAACTGCACAAGTAAGAAATGTTTCCCTTTCTGTTTATGCTTTAAGCTTTCTGTATATATCTATAGTTTTTTCTGCTAAACTAATTCAAGGAATTCTAATGTTAAACTAATGAGTTTCTCCTCAAGCTACAAAACTTCTAGATGCTGCAGTCATCATCAAAATTTGAAGTTGGCAGAATCATCTTTAGATAAAGGTTGTTTTGGTCATGCCTTTGCTTTTAAAATCTGACAGAAATGTCACCTTTATGTTGCAAAAAACACACCTAGGCACTAATCAGTGCTCTGCTGCGACCTAGGCCCTAGGCCATAGAGCTAGGTGTTTCTTTTGTTTTTTTAGATTTTCTGATTAATTTTGGATTTTTTTGCTAAAAGGAAAAGTGCCTAAATCGTCTTTCTGCAACATTAATGTTTCTAGCATGTACAACCCACAAGGTTTTTATCTCCAATTATGTGGGGCCTCTGATGTCTGTGTTCTTTGAATTTTTTTCTTCATCAGCACTGAATTTTTTCTGGTGGAACTTTCTTATTGCGGCATGTAATCCTGCAGGTTAACTATGATGCAAGTGGATGGGTTGTACATCATAAGTCTGACATATGGGCAAAGTCATCTGCAGATCGAGGTGAGGTTGTTTGGGCTATCTGGCCAATGGGTGGAGCATGGCTTTGTACTCATCTGTGGGAGCACTACAAGTTTACAATGGATAAAGTGAGATTTTGTTTCTTTCAAATTTTATGGTCCATTGCCTTAGTAAATTGCCATTGATATTGGTTTGTTGCTTTAGAGTGGCTTTTCAAGCATGGTAATATTGTATCCTGCAAGGTGCACAGGTTTTAAGTCCACATGTTCTGCTTTAATTCAATGATGTGGGAATTCTTGCCCCTAATACACCTCCTCACAGGGACTCACAAGCATACCCTACCAAGTCACTCTCAACCTCCCATTGGGTTGCACACTGGGGCTTAGGTCAACCTCTTCTAGGTCATGAACTTGTAGCAACTCTTTCGGTTATACACAGGGGTTGAGCTCGTAATGATCTCCCCTAGGTGGTGCACTAACAGGGCTTACTGGAACCACCCTTGGGTTCAGCACACAAGTAAAGTTAGGCCTGGGCTTAGTGGCAGAACCACATGGCCTCTAATCCATGTAAATATCCAATCTAAAACCAGTTGGTAATAAGTGGAGTATTGTATTCTCCACTCTCTGTCATCTCAGCCAAAACATAGGGCAAGCATCCTACCTAAAACCAACGACGAATAGGTGGAGTGGTCATCTTATATTTAAGCTACACATATTTTTCCTATTATTTCAAAGGGGGATTTTCCCACTTATAAGTATTCAAGTCCTTAGGTTTCCTTTTAAGTCGCTGTTTTGAGATTGTCCCCCTTAACAACCAGATCTTTGTAATCAGGATTTTCTAAAAGATAAGGCGTATCCTTTATTGGAAGGATGTGTGCAGTTTCTCTTAGATTGGTTGATCAAAGGCCATGGTGGATATGTTGAAACCAACCCATCAACTTCTCCAGAGCATGAATTTATCGCACCAGATGGTAGACTTGCTAGTGTGAGCTACTCATCAACCATGGATATGGCAATTATAAAAGAAGTCTTTTCTGCATTTTTAGCTGCTTCTGAGGTGAATCCCTTCTTCTAAACTAATCCAGAACAATCTTAGTTCTCTATTTTCTTAAATTCTTTAACCTTATCTTGATTTTTTTTTTTTTTTTTTTGAATTATTTTGAGCACAGATCTTGGGTAGAGAAGGGAAGAATCTAATTGAGAAAGTGCATAATGCTCAGCAAAGGCTTTACCCAACCAAAATTGCTAGAGATGGTTCCATCATGGAATGGGTATGCTAATCGCTTGAGTATTCTCCTGTAATTTGTAAAAGGTCTAGTTTTTAGTAATAAGTTTCTTTGCTCAGTAAGGTTTTAAATTCATGTAGTTCAGAACTTCTTTGCTTCGTAGGCAGGCACAAGATTTTGAGGACCCAGAAGTGCACCATCGACATCTGTCACACTTGTTTGGCCTGTTTCCTGGTCACACAATAACCATTGAAGATACTCCAGACCTATGTAAAGCTGCAGAGCAGACCCTTCACAAACGAGGTTGGTCTATTTTCAAATGTAGATTGATTTTCTCAGTAATTTATTGTCCATTTACTTCATTGACTTTTTAATTCCAAACTGAAGTTGTCTTTTTTGGGATTCGTTTTTTTCATATTTCTTGGTTTTTCCTATGACAATTTAGGTTTTTTACCATGTTGATATACATACAAGAATAATATTTTTATTTTGAAATAAAAAAATGCCTAGTTAAAAGATTATTATGAAACATACGGATATATAAGCTGTGCCAATGTTAACCATAAAAAATATGGACTAATAAATTGTTTATTTGATGCAAGACAAAAATGTAAAGTTGCTTATCTATTTTTGAATTTGTATTACTTTGGATACTACCTATGTCTAAGTTTTATGTGCTATTGTCATTGAACACTGACTTATGAAACATTGTAGGCCCAGGATAACTGAGAAGATTCATGTTTTTGAATGCAACTAATTAATTTGAAACAAAGAGCTTAGTTGGAGACATTTGATCATTCTTCTTGAATAAATTTGTAGATTGTACCTAGAAATTAAGTAATCAGCTTGCTTAATAAACGTTCTTTAGTCTGCACTCTAACTCGATTAAGCCTTGATTCCAAAATGGTTCAGATCGATTTTCCTTCTGTAGTCTGTTGAAGATCTGAAAACTCTGAGTCGTTACTATGCACAATTTGCCTTGTCTATTTAATCAAATTATAGGTTTGAACCAAAAGAAGAAGAAGAAGAAGAAGAAGAAAGAAAAGCTGACAATTGCTGCACCTATTAGTTTTTCTCTCTTACGTTTTTCTGATTTTAACAGGAGAGGATGGTCCAGGATGGTCAACAACTTGGAAGACTGCTTTGTGGGCTCGTCTTCATAATAGTGAACATGCATATCGGATGGTCAAGCGCTTGATTAACTTGGTTGATCCAGCTCACGAGATAGCTTTTGAGGGTGGACTATATAGTAACTTATTTGCAGCACACCCTCCTTTTCAGATTGATGCCAACTTTGGGTAAGCAGCATTATGTGTGGTTATAAATGCAAATTGGTGGCATTGAAATCCTAATTAATTTTGGTTTGAAGTATATCATGGTGTTTTCTGTTACAATCAACTTTGGAGGCAATATTCTGTGCCTTGACTATCTACCTCAATTTTGAAACTTCGAATGATTGTTTGCTCTAGACCTTAGTTCCAAGTCAAGATAAGTCCACTTGGTTACAGTTTTGATGGGAATTATCTTGCCTGAAATTGGACGCCTAAATTACTTTATATGCCTGGATTATTATCATGCGCAACTATCGTTTCACGATGAAACTACAGCTTTGAATTTATCAGCTTGTGTAATTGATAAAGGTGTTAATTTTTGCAACTTATGGTGTCAGGTTTTCAGCAGCAATCGCAGAAATGCTCGTTCAGAGCACCTTGCATGACCTTTACTTGCTTCCTGCCCTTCCCCGGGATAAATGGGCGAATGGATGTGTTGAAGGATTAAGGGCACGAGGAGGAGTAACGGTAAACATATGCTGGAAAGAAGGAGATCTTCATGAAGTCAGTCTCTGGTCGAAGGACAGAAATTCTCTCAAACGATTACATTATGCTGGAACTATCATAGATGCAGATCTCCCACCAGGCAGAATTTACACATTCAATGGACGGTTAGAATCTGTAGAGACTTAACTTTTCCTTCAAGGGAATGATGGGATTGGAAACAGATATCGTGTAAAAGTATTTACCATACACAAGTTATATGGTATGATAATGTACTAGCAAAACTAAGGGATCTCGAGGCCGAGTCAGGCAGCAAAAGAACTTTTCACCATTGCTAAAATGTTGGAGTAGATCAACAGATAAAATGAATGTGCAAAAAGGAATTATAGCCATGCACTCCCATGGCTTCTTGAATATCATAATGTAGCAGCTAAATTGAAGGATCTCGAGGCAGGGTACAGGCAGCACAAAAACCTCTCATTATTACTAAACTATGGTTGCTAGCACAAAAGGTATGGCACCCAATGGGAAGTTTTTGTGTTGTTTAGCTACTACGTTATATCCTTAGGAATCCTTGGGTGTACATTGCTGTAATTCCCTTTCTGCGCAATTATTTTATCCATTGAATCATCCCATCGGTTTATATAATGAGAAGTTTTTGTGCTACCTTAAG